GCCTTAGTGTCAGATTGTCTCTCCCCGTTAAGTCCATCGATTTCTTCTCCACCTTACACCGGAATTGTGGCTTAATAAAACTTGACCAGGGTTGTTTCCTGAGAACGTCATACTGACCTCCGTGTACTGGGAAAATGGTCATTCAATGACATAGAAAAGAAATGATTCTATCGCAAACAATTGATTTTGTTGATAAAGAAAATATATGTGGAAGAAAATCATACCGTTTCTTAGCATTTATTGATTTTCTTACTATTTTTACTGAAACGATGTTTACTTGAAATGACCTTTGGCCTGTATAGAGTCCGTCCATATTGCCATGTTTACCTACACACAGCCGCATTATTTGATAAAATGACCCTGACAAAGGACTGCAATTAAGTTTCTGTCAGTGCCACAGCTGTCCATTTCACCAAAAATTACGGACACGCGATTCTGGACGTGAGAGATTGTCTAAAGTCACACTGTATACAGAGTGGACAGAGATAACATCCCTAGGGTATTGTGTTCATTACAGCGAGACAAGTCTCGATAATGGCCCTTTAGCACTTCTGCAGTCGGTTGGATTGTCTAACGTCAGGATGGTGCTGTTTGTATCTACATACTGTTTCGTTTTATGTAATCTGAGCGTAATATTAAAGATTAATTACATGACATTATTTTACAGACCTATAAACTTTCCTGACACTTGAATTATCAAGTAGGCAAAATCTAGTGTGATCCGACTGCATCATGCATTCTTGTTTGTCATGCTATGAAAGAGTTTGGACGACCCTGGCAGGCAGGAACCGGAAACCAATATGACATGTTTGTTATATGTTTTCAAATGTCAATCTGCTATGACGTAATCAAAATAACCTACCAATGCTGAGGTCAATACAATGCTATCACTCGAGCCTGTCGCCTGTCATGTTTTGCTGGAAAGTGAAAGAAGGGCAACATATGCGGTATTAGCTACGCAGACAGGCAATCAGCTCGGATAGTGCTTTATCACACCTGATGTCGACTGTTACTGGATTACGATGTGGCTATCCTCTTGTCATGGGAAATATCCAAAGTCATACAGAAACAATTTAAGAAGCATCTCCGAGAGAAAAAAAATTGAACATGAAAACAGCAAGCACATAAAAACAGATTTGGAGCATATCGAACGCTGTGTAAAAAAGATATCTACAATATACACTTTCAAGTATGTACGGCAGACACATTTGACTACACTAAACTGCGAACATAGACCAGTTTGTCAGAATCCACTGTAGACACACTCAATGAGATCAAACCAAAGTAAACCAGACCTACGAAAAGAAAGAGTGTGACAAAGGCAAGATACTTACTCGAACACAGAGATCCAATGAAAAGAGCGAAATCTCAAAATCAGAGTATAGATAAAAAGAAGATTCGGCACCATAATAAAAAAATGGAGAGAAAAAACAGTAGAAATACACAAAAAAGTGAGGAAAATGGACAAACAATAAGAAAGGTACAATAAGGAAAAACAGACAAAACGAAAGTAAAGGATATATTCATAATTCATGACATGACGGAAAAAAGAAACCATATTAAATTAAATGGATTAACCAAAGAAAATCAGACTGAAAAAGGTAGGAGATGAAAATAAGCAGTTAGAAGTAATCAAGAATATAACCAGATAGACAGACCAGGGCAAGGCGGTAAAGCAATCAAAAATGAACCAAAAGACAAGACAGGCAGACAGACTGACGGAGAGACGGACGGACGAAACCAGATAAGTGAATGATACTCCAACCCTTAAAGACTGGGTAATAGTTTGATTTAATATTAAAAAAACGGAAGGGGATGTTGGGCTTGACAGGACAGTCTGTTGAATTTCATCGAAGGTTTTAATGTACATTCAAAATGATAATATCTGTGAAAATGTCAAAGAAACTCGTAAATGCCACTTAATCACCAGAACATGTACAACCTTCCACAAGTCAGTCTAGGGGCTTGTAAGGATGTATGTTCTTATAAAGATTAGCATTCACTTGCCGTCTGACCAGAGAGGCAATCAACACGTAAAACACGTGTCTCTCGGCACCGGCACTGATATCAACGAGACACGCGGACAGGAATGTCATGTTTGCCTAAACAGTCCTCATTTTATCATATAATATATTCAACAACCATAAAATCGTTCCCGCTAAATCATGCGTGAGCAAATTTATTGATAGGAAATCTAGACGTCATCGTACCTTTACACTCATTCTCGTTAATAGATGTTTTTTTTCCTTTGAACCTGTTATTTTTTTGTAGTCCTAAACATAATTGATGGAAGGCAAACGAACCAGAAACACAGTGTAAATGTGATATCAATGTGTATCTTACATTTTCCATGCAGGTGGAAGTAAAATAGATAAACAATAGCAGAACTACTTCGTTGGAGTGCCAATAACCTTGTCTATATCTAGATACTACTGCAGTATTATCATTATCTAAACTAAACTTAGCTAAACTCGAAACGTGCCCTTAAATTTGAACAGCACTTTAAGTTTTTTCATGAAAACTGAAGACTGTTTCTGTTTCCCTTGCCACAGAAATAAAATCCTGTTCATATCCTTTAATTGAGAATGCGTGATTTGTCCAGGCATTACGCGCCCTTTATCGTATCGTGTGGGGCCATGTGGTTAACATCACACAGAACGTGTGTGAAGGATTTTTTACCTATCCATCTAAAGTTATGATAGACGTCGAGAAGATGTATAAATTAAAATAGGTGTAACTTTTTTCTATGTTTCTCACTTATATAAACAGACATCTGTGTAAGGATTGTATGGTCTTACTTCTCTGAATCTAACAAATCTCATTTTGTGAATTTTTTGATAAAGTGTGTTTGTCTTCTGGTTCACTTCTTTTTTAATATTTGTGATAAAATTATCGAATTTTATCATCATTATAACACATATGATAACTAACGTTCAACGTAACGGCCACCTATCTTAAATCAGACAATATATTAAGTGTATGATACAATCCTTTTCGACAACCTATAAATGACATTTTTCACTGTTTTATGGTCTTTATATATTATTATACCGATAATATGTCTGGTTTTACAGTTCTAGGTTCCGCGATATTGTTAAGGTCCCAGCAGGCCTGTCATGGGTAGCGCCATTGAATTCCATTCAGGGTCACAGCTCATTTCTGTATAGATCCGTACGTTACGCATGTCAGCCATCAGATGTGTTCCTCTTGTCTCCCATCATTGATAATCGTGTAGCATGAGAATCTCTTTCTACTTCAACAGTTTTTGAAAAAAACTAATATTTCAACAAATGGAATTTTTCAAGGCCTCGAAGGATCAAGCTGACTTTTATATATGATAACTTGGATTCTAAAAACAGATTTCAGATTTCGAATTAAGAGGAAACATTTAAACTATGTAGTAACGAATTATTGGGAGAAGGAACCTGTCACAAATGACGTCTGGGGATTCGTTAGTGTTGCTGAAATAATTTCCATTGTGTTGAAATACGGGAAAAACCTATATGTTCTCGGATAAAATCCATTCCAGGTCGACCACATGTATCCGTGTTTTATGAATCATTACTTCCTGTTAAAGCCCTCATGATTTTGACGTATCATTGATCACCCTCAATAAATTAATTATCATCATCCATGATGAATCGATTGTTAAGACGTATTTCCGTATTTGTAACAAAAAACTATAAAATAATACTTTCAGGTCATACCGCAATATTGTACATATCCTGATCAGCAAAAGTTTATAAAAGTACTTACCGAAGAGACAGCATTGACAACAAGTCGAATCGAGTTTTAAAAAGTAGTCATTTTCAAGCATCGAGTAAAAAACGAAATAGTCATTATAAGGCATCAAGTAAGACCAAAATAGTCAGATAGGAACAGCTGACTTTAGATTAAATCAGAAATGACGTCATAGGTCTTATATTGTGATCAATCTGATTTAGTCAATCAAATCGAAGACAATATGTTTCGGGGAACTTAAGCTAATATCCATGAGTTTGCGTAGACTATTTCAGTATCCTGTGTGAAGATGTACTTTGATATCAGAGGTAAATCATTACGGCCTAAACAAGCATAAAAATGTTGTTCTAATCTTTCGTCAAGATAGAGAAAATATATAAGGATACCTCGGTTATATATACATTTACTGGTTGTTGCGAACCACTGCTTTGAAAACAATTTAATGTAACTTGTTGTTAAAATTTTTACACTGATCTCTTGGTCGAAATAAATTATGTAATCGTGAAACGACAAAATGTTTATTCGGATTAACACAGATCTCTCGATACATGATCATATGAAAGTTGGAGCCAGTTCTGAAATTTGAATCTTCTTTATGGAGATCGAAACTGGTGGAACACCAAATAATTCTGATACCTCTAATCATTCCATTTAAAGCCAGCAAAGCCGACCTATCTCATGTCTTACTAAGGGTGCTACTCTTTCACAATGTCGTGATGTCTGTGATTGCATCTTTTGTTGTCCTGTCTCATACTAAATTACACACGTGACTTGTCCTTGTTGTTGATGTTCGCATGACCTTATCAGCAGGACGGAAGTGCAAGACATCGATGGCGGCCGTGGTAACAATCCCATCTGACAATTTCTCGGAATTTCTATGGTATTGCATCCTGAAAACATATCCATCTGACGTCGGCTGTGGTACAATCCCATCAAACAATTCCTCGGAATTTCTGTGGTATTGTAATCTGGAAATCATTCACGTTTGGCATGTCTTCTATACTGATTTGATCGAAGAAAATCTTTCCAAAACCTGACAGTTTTCTCCATCCCAATACCATCCCACACTCTAGTCCACGTGGACTTGTTAACTTCATATATAAATGTATATATCAATTACTTGTAATATTGGACCTGTCATTTTCTCATATTCTTCAACCAAAACAGTGGATCAAAATCGTTACCCATGAGAAATTCTTAAGCCAGCCTATCAACACCCCTGGTCACAGTACTGACTACACAATCCTCGGGAGACTTACCAGGTCGACGACGTCTGTGATTGCAAGACCTACGGCCACGATGATCATCTTGGATGTGACATTCACTGGACGGATGCGCTTGTCGTATTTGTCGAGAAGGTGGGAGATTAGACGCTCCTCTTCGTTAACGTAGGTGTAGTTCGGCATCACTATACCTGGTAGGCAAAATAACAAAATACAATGTCACTTCATCATAACTTAATTCGGCAGTATGGTCTTTATACAAACGCCATATCACAACACTGCAATGACAACGTTCGGGAACATAGTTGTGAAAACAAAGTTCGACAACAGTTAAATGATAGTTAAATAGTTAATAACAATATCATAATGAAATTCTGCTTTGCGTAAAATTGATATGTAAAAGTGTACATGTCTTGATACATCCATTTACAAAAGGTATATATATATCTACTAACCTAACAGCAAAATCTACGGACGAAGAAAACATTTACAAAGCATTAGACTAGAGAATACAAACATGAACATCATTTTGGGTATTTTTCAAACATCACAAGCCGAAGTCATCTAAAGCACGACATGCCGGAAATGGAATTTGTTGGCAGTGATATCGAACGCGAAATTTATTTCATCATTTCACAATGAAAATGGTATAAGCTAATGTGAACAGACAAAAGAATATTTCCCCTCGGCGTCTAATTCTCGAGGATGAGAAATAAGAATTAATATCAAACCTCGGGAATACTTAGATTTGTTTCTAGCTGCATTAAACAAACTTTTTGGCAGACTACTTCCCAAGATGTAATTTGCAAATGGTTATCATTTCAATTGTCTGTTAGTATATTATTGTTCAGTTCAAACTTCTCTACGGTCCCATTTCCTAATACATCTGTATCACATTTTAAACCGATAACGCGAGGCAATGTTATGCCTAAATAGATCACGTGGTAGGCAAGGTTTAAGCATCCATCTGTATGTCAATTATGACAGGTGTAAACTGGATTCCTTCAGGGACGAACTCTTTGTACAGATATATAGGACGAACTATCTGTACTGATCTATATATAGGACGAACTATCTGTACAGATATATAGGACGAACTATCTGTACAGATATATAGGACGAACTATCTGTACAGATATATAGGACGTACTATCTGTACAGATATATAGGACGAACTATCTGTACAGATATATAGGACGAACTATCTGTACAGATATATAGGACGTACTATCTGTACAGATATATAGGACGAACTATCTGTACAGATATATAGGACGTACTATCTGTACAGATATATAGGACGAACTATTTGTACAGATATATACGATGAACTATTTGTACTGATCTATATATAGGACGACCTATCTGTACAGATATATAGGACGAACTATCTGTACAGATATATAGGACGAACTATTTGTACTGATCTATATATAGGACGAACTATCTGTACAGATATATAGGACGAACTATCTGTACAGATATATAGGACGAACTATCTGTACATATATATATAGGACTAACTATATGTACAGATATATAGGACGAACAATTTGTACAGATATAGGACGAACTATTTGTACTGATCTATATATGGGACGAACTATCTATACAGATATATAGGACGAACTATCTGTACAGATATATAGGACGAACTATTTGTACAGATATATAGAGGTTAAGACACAATAACTTATGTTTTGGTATAAACTGTTTTATAAATAAAAACGTATTTTATCTAAAATAGCTAGCAGTGTATACTTGATATAAATATTGAAAATTAAAAAGATTTGTCTGATATTTAATTGTTTAAGACAGAGGCAACATGGCACAAACAGAATTTTTCACGATTCTTTATTTGTTCATTCACTAATATAAACAACTCGTACGGTAGTCAATGATTCCATTGGGACAGACAACTGTTAATGCTCCCTCGATAATACCGTTCAGTGATAAACTGCAACCCTTCACCAAGATAGAGCAAAAAAGATTGTACCAAAGGCACACAAATGAAAAGCAGCTTTCCATGTAAATAACCTAGATAAAGTCTGCGATGCTACTTTTAAAATCTGCAAACTAAACCGGAAATCACTGAGTATGACCTCTTAATGGCACCGTATCATATGGTGTCTAGGAGTAGTTCCGTCAAATAACTCGCAACATGATCATGGTGATAAATATATCTTATATTCGTCGTCACTGACGTGACGGCTCTATCGTTATTATAGCAATATCACATGGATAAGATATCTTGGATGCTTCCTCCGAAATAGATACGGTTAATCTCCAAGGAAAACAATTCTTCACACGTTCTGACCTTGAACCAATATGCTGAAGGTTTGTATTCTTCCTTAGACACAGTAGGGGGTTTAGCATGCATTCGTCTTCACTGTTTCTTCGCCATCCTTGTGAGTAAGCTGTAACGTCGACAAATGAGAACTTTCCATTTCAGTATAGTGTTGTCTCCCCCATTAAACCACACAGCGATCAGGTAGCAGTCGATGTCTCCAGTTAGATAGGTTTTCATGTCATTTATCATTAACTTAGAATACAAGGAGGCAAAACTAAGATATTACAAATAACATTAAAACCTTGTATAATACATTATTTACATGTACCATGTGTTACTTAACTTTTGTCATTTAAAACATAAACCGAGAATGCACTTACTTATTTCAACTCAATCAAATTTAAGCGCGTTATCATTCTTAAAAATAAGCACCATTATGGATTTGTACACACATTTGCTATAATTGCTGAATAAACAACATTCGGAAACAGTAATTAGAGCAACGAGATATCAGCGTAATACCTTGAAAGCGAAAAGCAATGAAATAAGTTCTTTTAATGTAAACAATCGAATTTCATCATTCTTGTGAACGTCTCAGAAAAAAATAGACAGTTAGTATAGTTTGCAGTAGTCATCTTCCAGAAACTTTTCTATTGTTGGTTTTCAAGTTTGATCGCGATTGTTGTCATGGATTAAGTTATAGGGAAAAAAGTCTTGCCCTTTGACCTTTCCTCATGGAGGAAGTATTGCCTAGGTATAGGCTCTGTCCATTCAAAGTTCACAACAGGCAAAACGGACACGATAATACAAAGAAATGGTACAAAACAACAACCACGGCATCCTCGAATTCCGGGGTTTTCTTTTGTCTTTCCAGTCATCTTGGGATCACCAGTGTTAAAAAGTGTTCACTTGTCTGAAACGTGTTATAGGCAAGATAAAGGTATATACAATCGTTAAGGTGTCGCGCCTTTGTAATGTTTATGTCTACAACCAATAGAAAGGTTCACCGCTAGTTTTTGATTCCTACTCGATATGTTTCAGGTCAACAGTAGATATATACATGTGTATATCGTGAATGAAACCCTTAGCATCTAAAGGTGATGAAAGATAGTGTCTCTCAATTTATCTTTAGAAATATGTTTACTCTACCTATCAATTTAAAACTTATTTCAAAACTAGCTTATCATGTTATAACGATAACAGAAATTTCCAGAAAATGTTTCCTTAGGTTTACTGCTTCTAGATACGCCTACTCAAACCAGTGTAGAGATTGCAACTGAAAATAAGATAATACTATATAAGTGTGTGGTAGAAAACTCACAAATAAATAGGTAATACCTCGTATAAAACGCCATTTCTAAAGTTGATATCTACAAATTGCAATAGATTTAAAATAAATTAGTTTGATAAGTATAGCCTATAAAAATGAAGCCAATTCACAACAGTCTAAGTAAAATAGCATCTAGTTGTCAAAAATGAGGAATTTAAACTATGGTTAATGGAGGTTTCGAAATGATTTGCAATCATGTGTGCGATATGAAACAGCTAAATGTATTTAAAACACGTAATTTTTTTCATGATATCGTGTTGGTACAAATTGCTTGCAGATCAAACATTCAGAAGACTCCAGCTGGCTTCTTAGAGCGCCCCACACACCGAACTACAGAGAAGGCTTTAATTTTATATGTCTGCACTGTTGATCTTGTTGAAGCACTTGACTGGATATATGGCTCCTTGAGAACCCCCTGTGACCCCTACTAAAGGATGGTCCCCATGAAGACTTGTATGGGCCCTAATTACCGCCAAGAGGGCATTATAACTACAAGATGGAGTCGATCTAGGCCCACCCCTTTAAATAAACGCCATCAGAAATTGATGAAATTGTAATTTGATAATTGACAGTTAAGGACAGAAGACACGGGAAATGTATGACACAGGCAGACAGACCATGTTCACAAACTTAATAAATATAGTTACACCAAGTCATTTAAATTAAATATTGAACGTAGCATTGAAAATGATGCCGTTAGCAGAAGTAAGATACTGAAACAATATATCATTGTGATAGAAAATATCTCGGAAAGATCAAAGTTAAATATAACATGGAATAACATACGCCGGCTATGAACAAACAGGTACCCGGAGGTTGTAATAATTCTTATCAGTGATTGGAAATTTTAAAAGCATGCTTTATATTGTAAACACTGGCAGAATGCGTGTAGGTATTCATGTATTCATATCTTTCGACACCAGTGAGAATAACCACAATTCTTATTTTGTAACCTTTTGGTTAGTTTTATGTGGTGGAATAGTTCTGTTGTCACCAAGGATGGCTAACTTGAACGCAGTAGAAAAGAACATAAACAAAACACCCAATCATGAAATCTACGGCGTGTGCTTCATCGGATTGATAGTACTAACGTACCACGTTATTTATTGAGTGCTGAGCAGTACCTTCCTCCGATAAGGCACTGACTTGGCCGATGAACATAAGATGTTGTTAAAAGCATATTTGATTAAGAAGTAGCTTATTCCGTCGAAAGATTAAGAATCCCGTATAAAGGCTAAAATGAATGTAATCATGTAAACAGAGTACAAATATTGATTCTAATAGAAAATTTCTTCCCTAACAAATCCATAAACAGACAAGAGGGATGCGATACCTTTTGATCATATATTTCAACCTTAACGTGTTTGTTTTCATTCTTCAACACCGCATTCCTCTCAAGATTTATTATTTTGGAGTTATCCGACTAGCGCTGTCTAAAGGACCATCGTTTCGTCTTCAAATAAAAACGATAATTAAATACATCCCCAAGATGCAGCAATGCTACAATCGGTTTGTCAGCTTGAGTTTCTGAAAATGTCAGCTAATTAACGTAGCTACACGAAAACAGGCAT